CATATGTTCACCAAAAATAAAACGGAATTAGAATAATAACCAATAGATCAAGCACATTCGTCACCCAAATCCTCGTCATGGCGTGGTATAAAGTAACAATATTGCTTGGACTCAACATTTTTAACTTCAAAACTTCACTCCAGTTGCTGTACACACACTGGTTTTTGCGCTCAAAGGCCACACGAACAATTCGGAAAGAAAATGTATAAATTAAACAAGTGTGCATGTCTACAAGGCGATCATTCCTAGGACATTTTTGTTGCTATATCATCTCACTGTCGCCGATCATCGTCCTGTAGGGGGCAAAGCGTTAAAAGGCACGATCAACTCACAGAACGCAATACAGGCAATCTTGACCGTGTTCAAGTTTAGATCAAGGTCTCAAGTAGGTCACAAAACTTAATATGATAGAAATATATCATTTGTTTTAAATGCATTCTGTTTGTCGCATTTTGTTTAATTTCTGTTGATGTGGTGGATGTTGGTGCCACTCTAATTGTTGTTGTTGTTGTTGTTGCTGATGATTTTGTTGTTGTTGTTGTTGTTGTTACTGATTTTGTTGTTGTTGTTGTTGATGCTGTTGTTATTATTGTTGTTGTTCTTTAAATTTGACTGACGTTCCTTTTAAATTTTTTCATAATATTGTATCAAGAATTGATTAATTACTCATTTAGAGGCGAGTAGGGAAGAGTGTAAGACGTCGTGTCAGTTTTGGGAACTTGTGGGTGACAGATTCTAACTGTGGGGGCAAAGCGTTAAAAGGCACGATCAACTCACAGAACGCAATACAGGCAATCTTGACCGTGTTCAAGTTTAGATCAAGGTCTCAAGTAAAACAAAAAAACACTTACGAAAAGAAATAGGAGTTGTGAAAGCGCTGAAGACTCCGGTGTTCCCGGTTCGAAAAAGGTACATCCTGAAGTAGTGAGTTCCTGGGCCCAGCTTTGTCACGAGTACACTGGCAGTGCAGGAGTAGCCTCCTTGTCTGTTGTAACTCACGCTGGCTGCTACAGGACTCACTTGTTCCTGATGGGGATTCACATAGATCTGATATAGCTAGAAGGTCTTACAACTGGTAAAAATAAAAGTACAGTTTATACTCTCTCT